TTTTCTATGTTGTTTCAAATTTCAATGTGTGTCTATATAAAATGTAATAATAAAAGTCTTTTTTGAGTAATGAAGAAGAAGAGTAAGTAACAATAAAGAAGAAGTATATTATTTATTCGAAAAAAATTAAAAGTGAAAGGACACACCAACAAAATGTAACGACATTTCAACTTTCACCACACAATATATATACCTAAAGTTGACGTTACAACTCTAACCTTCCATTTTCTCGTAATCTATGTTGCTCAGATTCTTATTAAAATGTTATTAAATGCGTGTCAAATAATTTAAAAGTAGTGTATTTTTAAGGATCCGATAAGGGTGTCAAAATAATTTTAAAGAGTCTGAAAAACATAGATGTTCAGTACCAAATATTGATAGATATTTCATATTTAGATTTGCCCTTTTTTATTTCTCGTGCAACTTATGAACAATTTAGATCATAGTATAAATATTTTCTTTTAAGTTAATTGAAAAATCTTATGAAAAAAAATGTGAAATCATCATCTGAAATATTATAAATACTAATCGCAAACGTTAACTGATAATATTTAATTATTTTCTTGTAAGGTAGGATAATATATGAGCAAATATTAGAGTAAGTTTAATGTTGTCTTGAAGAGTACTTTTACAAAGGTAATATTTGCTTTTAAAAAATAGGAACAAAATCTAAATGAATTGGAGTATTTTGCATAAATTTAGCTTAAACAATCATTAAAGGATATATACTACCCTTAATTATCCAAAATCTAGCTAATGAAACTATCCCCAAGTGTTCACTATGAATTTATTAGCACTAATCTAATTACATAAGTGAACATAATTAAGGACCTTAATTAGGAATTAGTTGAATCTAACCATTTAGCTTCAAATTATATTTTGAAGCTTTAATTTGCGGAAACAACTTCTTGCAGAAATATGGGAGAACTCTGCGTATAATAGATCTATATGATTCAACTTTTCTTTGAACTCAGCACATAACAAAAAGTTTTAGTGCATTGAAAGGCTTTTTTTTAAAAATCCTAGATTGCTTGAAGTACTCAAATTATTAATAAATGCTCTTAATAATAAAATATTCTTAAGAACAAAAAAAGCAAAGGAATATGGTAACTAAAATTCCAAAGGAAAATGGCCTAACAAAGCAAAAAAAAAAAGGGATTTGGTGGGGGTTAAATTCAGCTGTTGATATGAAACCTAACGACTTTAAATTCTAAACACTAAATAATTCTTCGATTTCAATTTATTGATCTTACTTTTCTTTTCCAGTTAGTTTCAAAGAAAAATATTTTTTTTATAATTCTTTGATTCTGATTTCTTACTTAACATATTTAAAATCACAATATTAGAAGACATTTGATACATTTTACGTATCTTTTATTTAAGACAACAAAATTGAAATTCTTAAACTGTATACCAAATCAATGTCAAATAAACAAATTAAAATAAAGAATGCTTTTATTGATAGAAAAAGGAAAAAGAAATCAAATTAATTCCTTATACTATAAGTTAAACCCAACACGTAGTTATTTTTGTCTAACGGTTGGTGTCGTTGTTATTATGAAGATAACGATAGGAAAAGAATAGAATAAGATTCATAGAATAAAAATAATGCATTTTTGGTCCACCATTCACCTTTTCCAATTTTCTATTTTGTAATATCAAAAAATTTCGATTTTGATATAATAATTTGATCGTGCCATGATTTTAAGATCAAATTTTCTTTTATATTGCGATAAAAACTTTCACTTTTAAATTATTTTTTATATAATAATTCAATTTGTCATAATTTTGATACTATTATTATATTCGAGCTTTTATGGATTGAATTTACTTGACTATCTGCAATTTCATTGCTTGTGCTCGGATAAAAGTTTTGTAAAAATATGTTGTTAAAGTTAGAGGTCAGGATATGTTTATTGGAAAAGAAAATATTTAAGTTTGCATCAAAGGAATCCAAAATATAATGTTATCATATTGTGTTTGAGTCAAAAAGAGTGTATGGTTAGTTTTTAGTATGTATTTCTATAGGTCATCACAATAGAGGCAATACCAAAATTTTACACCTTGAAACTAACAAAATATTTGCATTTAATTTTAGAAAAAATCTTTACTTTTTGACATTTTTACTCTTATTTCAATATAAATTTATTAATTATTTTTTAATACATAAAAAGTCTCCCAATGCATGGGAATTAAACTTGTTCTCTCATAATTTCTTAATTACGTGTTACTTTCAATTTCTTTTAAAAATACTACAAAATGATAGCCGTAATAATTTTTTTTCTTCCCTCTACTTTCCAATATAAATTTTAAAGAACACAAATTTAAAATTTACAATTAAGAAATAAAATTTAAAAAATTTAAATGACAAGATAAATACTAATAATATTAAATCTAAAATAAATTTATCTCGCACACAATTCAAATTAAAAATTCATAAAATAACTTAACAAGTAAAATTATTAATCAAAAGTGTCATATACATTGGTCATTTATATAATACTAATAATAATAATAATAATAAATCATAATAATAATAAAAATAATAAATTATATTTCTCAACTTTGTGATTTAGAGATAATATATTTTTTGTTAAAAGAAAGTGGCTCACATCTATTTCAATTGGTACATATATAACTTTGATATTGTTAAATATTTTTTATCTGAAGGAAGTCAAAAAATTGATTCAAAATTAGTTTTTGATAAAATAAAAATTATAGAAGGTATGTTTGAAGAGCAAAGATCATTTTTCGCTAATAGAAGTGAAAAACTTATTAATTTATTTTAACAAAATAAAAATATATAAGGTATATTTGACACTTTTCGAAATATTTTGAGTTATGTTTGATCTTCTTCACACAAGAATTTTTGTCTTTTTATTTTTATTTTTTATCTTCTTTAATTCCATGACTAATTTTGATATACTATATTGATGATCAAATTTAATTTTTCACTGATCTTCTTGCAAAGTCTATTATAGATGCATCAACATTTTTACAACTACAAAATAAAATTCAATATAACCGCAAAAAATGATTAATTTTAGTTAGTTTGTTTTTTTTTAATTTTGTTCACCATTTTTTAAAAATTTCTTTTTAGTTTTCATGTTTTCTACAATACGAAAAATTAAACATGAACAACATATTCAAATAATGATTAAAAAAATATATTCATAAGGGAGATAATTAAGACCCAAATTAACCGTTGAATTAAAAAGCTCAAAAATATTATTTGGTTAAATAACTAAAATAAATAAATTAAAAATCTAAAATTTAACTTTCGTTAGTCAAAAGAGGATATATGAGTTATTTAATTTGCTCATGTAACAATAAATGTATATGTAACCTTTTCTTTACGGAATATATATTATCTCTATATCACAAAATTAAGGAGTGTATCAAATCTTTTTCTCCTAATAATAATTCAACATAATCTACACAATTATTATTATGAAGATCAATGTAAAAAATATTCTATATCTTATTTGATTATTCTTTGTCTCTCTCTCTCTCTTTATATATATATATATATATATATATATATATATATATATATATATATTAATGTTTGTATTATATTAAAAAGAGAGTAGTCAACCTTGATATTAAGACAATTATATAATAAAAGAAAAACTTTCTTAATTCAAGACATCACTACGAAATTGCATTATTAATAGTTATTTAAAATATCTAAGTCCCAAAATTATATTATTATTTTTCTAAAAGAAAAGCACGCACGATGTATAAACATTTAATTAATTAGTGAAGAATCGTATTAATCATTATCATTCAATTGTAAATTTCAGAATCCATATTTATTTTACTAATATTGCATATTACTGAGAATCCTTGAGAGTAACGTGTTAATGTTAATTATAATCTTGTATCTGCCCTATATTACGTCAATTTGATAATTTATAAATCATTACTCATATTTGTTATTAATATGAAAAGTATATAATTTTATAAATTATTATGTTTAAATAAATTAGGCTATTTATTTGAATATTTTAACATAACTCTACTAATAATGACAATCAAAACTCGAAACACTTTAGAGATGATAAATATCACAATATTATAAAAATCATATATTTCATCAGTGTCGATCCTATTTAACAACAATCATATTAAAAATGTGATAGTTTTGCACCGTGATATTATGTTGATAATATGTGAACTATTACTTATTTATTATTATTAATATGAGTTCTAACTAAATAAGTTTATGAAGTTGCGTTCAAATAAATTTAAAATACATATTTCAATAATTTTATAAGTATAATATGAAAATATTTCAATAAAGTCAAGCAGAACTCAAAACACTTTATATTTGGTAAACATCAAAACATAACAGAAATCATAAAATTTTTATTACTTATAAGTATCGACCCTAATTACTTTTGTAAGAATAATGTCACAAAAAACATTTTTTTATATATATATTTTTAGTTTATTATTTAATAATTATATTTTAATATAATTAGTTATAGATAAACTTATTAGTTGGAGGTGTAACTGTATATTTCTTGTAGTACACAAGTGTAAATGTTTAAATTTGAAATATAGAGAGTGTATTTAAAATTGAGTCATATTACAAAAATAATAATTAATGCATTAATTATATATACATTGAGCTTGATAAGAATTTTGAAGAATATGAAGGGCTACATGGTACGACTAAATTATCTATTGAATCTATGAGTAGTTTAGACTCAGAAAAGTCGATTGAGCGAATGGAGAAGTTTGAAAGAACGCTGCCATGATGATCAACAAACTCTTGTGACACATGAAAAGGAGAAGATAAGTGGCAAAGAAATCAATCCAAATGCATCTATCGTGTTTATTTTGAATTAAGAGATGGCTACAACCGATTTAAATGAAACTAAGGGAAAACGAGTGCTTCAAGATGGGAAGATTTAGTTGAGGTAGAGAATCATACTCTAGTAGGAGTAAGTTAAGCCCTCAATCACTCGAATTTATGCCTACAAGTAAGACAAATGCATCTATGGCAGTTGTTGAATGCCTTGAATCGAATCCGTTACAACCGAAAAGGACGTAATTCTGTAAATCCTATTCTGTAATTCTATATGGCGTAGCTTAGCGCTATAGCAAACCTTATTCTGTAATTCTGTTTTTGCCTCTCCATAATAAAACTGCTCCCCCTCTTCCCGTGGACGTAGCTAATTTATTGGTGAACCACGTAAATCTGTTGTTTTGATTTCGCATTTATATTTTCTCGTATTATCTCGAATTCAGCATAACAGCATTCTTAGATACTTCATCTAATCTAAGTGCTACAAAAGTTAAGTTGGATAATAGGGATTTCCTTCCTGACTTAGGCTGTGGCACATCTGATGGGGATGATGAACATGATATGTTGGATATATGCTTTGATAAGGTGGCTAAGGATGAGGATCTTTCACCTAGACAACAAAGAAGTAGAAGCACCAAATGCAAAAATAAGACATATGGAAGACAACATTGTTGCGATGGTAAGTTGAGTAAGGAATTTGTTCCAAGGCACCTCCGATACGACTGACAAAGAAAAATCATATGACAGTGACAATAACTTTATCAAGATCCAACAAATCCAACAAGAAAAGATGAACTATCAATCATTTTTAGACAAATTTGGAGAAGAAGATAAGAAGAATATACTTTTTTAGTTCAATACATATATCAGATGAAGTTTTAGTTGGACAACACATCTTTCTCCCTGGCTTTTATATTCTTGCATTCCTTAAGAATCCTCATTTTTATTCTTTGTTATAAACTTTTGCAATAAGTTTTTTTTTAATTCTACGTTATGGGTTTTTGAAAGACAAATTTTTTGTTTCCAATTCATGAACCTAATAAATTCTATTAATTAAAAATCTTTTTCTTGCAAAACTTTTTATCCTATAAATTGAGTTTCCTTTGGTTGAAAAAGAGAAGCATTCAAACAAAAGTACATTCCCTTAAAAACACTTGTGAGACATTGATCAAAAAGTGAAATCACCAATTCAAGAATAGAAGAGCAACATTTTTGAATGCCACTTGTTTTGTGGCTTAGTTGAATCCCGAAGATAGAGTTGTTATTTATTCTTCCGATTGCTCGTGAGAGAGACTCCAACTATCTTCAAGAAACGTATTAACGTGCCTCTAAGCCAAGCAAGTTTTATTTTGTATTCCTTATAATTTTTATCATTCTTGTTCATTTGTTCTAACAATTTGAAGATAGTTGTCTCTATGGCATCCACATCAATAACGAACAATGTTCCTTCTTTGCCTAATTCTAATTTTGAAATATTTGATGGAAAAGACTTTTCTAGATGGCGTGGAAAGATGAAATTCTTTTTAAGACGATTAAAGTTAGCGTATGCTCTTGAGATGCCTTGTCCTGAGGCTCCTAGTTCTGAGGTAGCAACGGACGATGCTACTTTAATTAAAGAACAAATTGCCAAATGGCAAGATGATGATTACTTATGCAAGAATTATATTCTTGGAGGAATGTCCAATATTATGATCAATATTATATTAAGTGTAAATTTTCTAAGGAGATTTGGGATACTCTTAAAGCTATTCATTTAGCAGAAGAGGCGAGTTCAAAGAAATTTCTTGTTTCAAATTATATGGAGTTTAAAATGGTTGATGACAAGTCAATCACTGAACAAGTACAAGAATTTCAACTTATAGCTAATAAAATTGTTATAAATGGAATTGCTCTTGATGAAAACTTTCATGTTGGTGGGATTGTCTCAAAACTTCCTCCATCTTGGAAAGAGTACAGAAGCAAACTCTTACACAAGAAGGAAGATTTGACTCTTGAACAATTATTGCAACACTAGCAAATTGAACAAGAGACACGATACCGCGACAATAACATCTTGAGGGAGCTCATCATGAAAGCTCATGTTGTTGAAGAAAAGATCAAGAAGGAACCTGGCAATAATAAATTTTTGAAGGCAAAGAAGAGTAAAAATTTCAAGCGTATTAATTCTAATTCTAAGTCGATTGAATGTTATCATTGTCATAAAATTGGTCATTATGCACAAGATTATAAAATTCTTAAAGCTGAAAAGAAGAAAGAAAAGGCAAATAACAATATAAAAAATGAACTGGTGGCAATGGTCACGGAAGCATTTGTAGCGGGAGATCAAGTGGAATGATGGATAGACACTGGTGCAACTCGTCATATATTAGGTAGTCGAAATTCTTTCACAACATATGAATTAGTGGGGGGCGATAAAATTTTGCATATGGGAAACTCATCCTCTGCTAAGGTTGTGGGAAAGGGAACTGTTGAACTAAAATTCACTTCCGGAAAGATGATCACATTGATAGACGTATTGCATGTTCTTGATATTCGAAAGAACTTGGTGTCAGGTACGCTTCTTTCAAAGCATGATTTTAAAATGATTTTTGAGGCAGATAAATTTATTTTGTCTAAACAAGGCATGTTTATTGGAAAAGGTTATGCTACAAATGGCATGTTCAAACTCAATATTGAAAATAAAAATATTTCTGCTTATATTGTGGAGTCTTTAGATTTATGGCATGAACGTCTTGGTCATGTGAATTTTAGATCCATTCAACTTATGATGAAAAATCGATTAATTAAAGACTGTGGAAAGGATCACGTTGCTAAGTGTATTACTTGTAGTAAATGGAAAATAACAAAGAACCTTTTAAGTCTGTTGAAAGGATATCCACACTTTTGGAATTAATTCACACTGATATTTGTGAGATTGGATTGTTTATCACGTCATGGAAAGAGATATTTTATCACTTTCATTGACGATTACTCAAGGTATACATATGTCTTTCCATTAAAAACAAAAGATGAGGCATTTGAGACTTTTAAAACATATAAAGCAGAAGTTGAAAATAAATTGAGTTTGAAGATTAAATCAATTAGATCTGATAGAGGTGGAGAATATTTAAAATCAAATTTTATTGATTTTTGTGAAAAAAGAAGGCATTGAGAAACAATTGACTATGTCTTATACACCACAACAAAATGGTGTAGCAGAAAGAAAAAATAGAACTCTCATTGAAATGGTTAACTCTATGCTTTATGGATCTGGTATCACTGAAAATTTGTGAACTGAAGCCTTATTTTCTGCATGTCATATTTTGAATCGAATTCATTCCAAGAAACATGATTCATCTCCATATGAACTTTGGAAGAATCGAAATCCAAATATAAATTATTTTAAAGTATGGGGTTGTTTGGCTCATGTTAGATTACCAGATCAACAATTGACTAAGATTGGATATAGAGGAGTAGATTGTGTATTTATTGGTTATTCACAAACCAGTAAGGCTTATAGATTTTTGAATCTTGAGACTCCAAGCCCTCACACAATTATTGAATCGTTGCATGCTAACTTTTTTGAGCATATATTTTCTAAGAAAAAAGAGTCTTTGGAACAAAATACAAGTTCTTCTATATTTACTCTTAAAAGAAAAATAGTTGAACCTTTGGAAGAAAGTCAACCAAGACGTAGTGCAAGATCAGCCAAACCAATAGACTTTAGACCAAATTTTCAAATCTATTTAGTTGAAAGGGATCCTGAAAGTTATGCTGAAGCAATGGCTTCACATGATGCTCCTTTCTGGCGTGAAGCTATTGATGATGAAATGCACTCCATTATGTCAAACAATACATGGATTTTATAAAACCTCCCTCCTGGATGTAAGTCTATTGGTTGTAGATGGATCTTTAGAAATGTTGTGCGGAATTTGAGATAATACGAGAAAATATAAATGCGAAAAACAAGACAACAGATTTACGTGGTTCACCAATAAATTGGCTACGTCCACGGGAAGAGAGGGAGCAGTTTTATTATGGAGAGGCAAAAACAGAATTACAGAATAGGGTTTCCCATAGCGTCTATATATAGTGCTAAGCTACGCCCTAACAGGCTTGGGCCCAACATACAGAATCAACAGAAAATTAAGGGCCCAATACAACAACATTGTATACCGTCGGGCCGGGGGCGGACCCCCAGGCCAGGGGGCGCGTCGCCCCCCTGGACCCCCCGACTCGCTGACCGGGCAGCGAGACCCCCGTCCTTTCTGTTTGTAGAAGGGTCCGATTCAAGACATTCAACAAGAAAGAAATTAAAATCTGATGGAACCTTAGATAAGTACAAAGCTCGTTTGGTGGCAAAAGGTTTTACTCAATTAAAAGATATTGATTATTTTGATACATTTGCACCTGTAGCTCGAATGACTTCTATTCGACTCTTGATTGCTTTAGCCGCAATTCATAGCCTGGTAATACAGCAAATGGGTGTGAAGACTGCATTTCTGAATGGAGATCTAGATGAAGAGGTTTACATGAAACAACCAGAAGGATTTGTCGTTCCTGGTCAAGAACACAAAGTTTGTAAGCTTCTTAAATCTCTTTATAGATTAAAACAAGCTCCAAAACAATGGAATGAGAAATTTAGAAGAGTAATTCTTTCTAATGGCTACTCAATCAATGGTGGTGATATTTGTATATTTAGCAAAATTTCAAGAAAAATCTGGTGTTATAATATGTCTTTATGTAGATGAAATGTTGATCTTTGGAACTGATATTGAAAGAGTCAAAGAAACAAAAAATTTTCTAGCTTCTCAATTTGAAATGAAAGATCTTGGAGAAGCTAATGTAATTCTGGGTATTAAAATTATAAGATCAACGAATGGCTTGACTCTTACTCAATCAAGTTATATTGAGAAAGTTCTAAAGAGGTTTGGCCACTTTGATGACAAACCTGCTCCTACACCATTTGATCCTAGCATCAAACTAATGCGGAACTCTAGTGATGTTCTCGACCAGCTGACATATTCTCATATTGTTGGGAGTCTTATGTATGCCATGCATTTTACCAGGACGGATATTTGTTACACAGTAGGAACTTTGAGCAAGTTTACTAGTAATCCCAGAGTTGAACATTGGAATGCCTTAATTCGTGTTTTAAGATACTTGAAGGGTACAATTAATGTTGGTCTGCATTATTCTACATTTCCCATTGTTCTTGAAGGCTATAGTGATGCTACTTGGAATTCTGATCCGAATGACTCTAAATCTATTACTGTTTGGATTTTCACTTTGGCTGGAGCAGCGATCTCTTGGAAATCAAAGAAGCAAACATGTATTACTCATTCAACCATGGAGTCAAAATTTATAGCTATGTCTTCTGTTAGAGAAGAAGTTGATTGGTTGCGATCAATGATGATAGATATTCCTTTATGGAGTAAGCCAATACCACCTTTAACTATCTATTGTGATAATCAAGCTGCTATATTTCGGGCTTCAAGTGACTGCTGTAATGGCAAGTCGAGACAAGTTCGTCTTAAACATAATCATGTCAGGAGATTATTGGAGGAAGGCGTGATATCACTTCAGTATGTGAAGTTCAGATTTAATTTAGCGGTTCCTTTGTCTAAAGGATTAGGCAAAGATTTAGTGGTGGAAACTTGTAATGGGATGGGAATAAAGTCCGTTTTAATTAATTGTATTTTATGGTAACCCTACCTAATGATGTAATCTTGGGTTCAAAGGGAAAAACAAGTAAAGTTACAATTGTGTCAATAAAATTCTCATTTTCAAAATAAAATGAAATAAGTGGATGTGCATGATTGAGATACTTTTCTCTTCATAAATTTATAAGGCCGATCTCGGTTGGAGTTAGTAACAAAACTCTTGATAAAAATTTTTTTCTCCATATTCCTGCTGAAGAGAAGGATGAGATTATATTCTCTTAATAAGTCTATATATCGATTTCGATTGGAGTGTGTAGGAATACCCTTGATAGATTTACCGATACTTTGTGTAAAGGAGGATAAGATTAATTTCTCTTAATGAAGTTCATAGACTATTTGGTCGGAGTATGCAAAGTTACTCTTAATGAATTCACCGCACTAAGTGCGAAGTGGAGGCCGCTTCAATAAGATTTTAACAGAAAAAATCTTAAAGCACTTGGCTAAAAAGAACTTAGGACAAATGGCCATAAGGTGTCAAAGGATTTCGATTTTCACCGGAACATAGTGATATGCATGGCGTATTTTTCTAACTTCATTCAATGATGCACTAAGTTCAAGATTTGTTCACTAAGTAGTCAATGATTTAGAAAAACCTTCACTAGCTAATGGTTCAAGTCCAAAAGACACCATTATTGATGCATGTTGCTAGATTAATGTCTCAAAATATTTTTTGGATTTTTTAAAGATAAAATTTCTTGAAACAAGTGGGGGATTGTAAGAGTTAGTGTTTCAATTAATTTTGAAACAAATTCCTCCGTTTTGAAATAACGAATTCATGAATGTGAGTTGTAACATTCATTGATTTTTATTCTTTGTTATAAACTTTTGCAATAAGTTTTTTTTAATTCTACGTTATGAATTTTTGAAAGACAAATTTTTTGTTTCCAATTCATGAACCTAATAAATTCTATTAATTAAAAATCTTTTTCTTGCAAAACTTTTTATCCTATAAATTGAGTTTCCTTTGGTTGAAAAAGAGAAGCATTCAAACAAAAGTACATTCCCTTGAAAACACTTGTGAGACATTGATCAAAAGGTGAAATCACCAATTCAAGAATAGAAGAGCAACATTCTTGAATGCTACTTGTTTTGTGGCTTAGTTGAATCCCGAAGATAGAGTTGTTATTTATTCTTCCGATTGCTCGTGGGAGAGACTCTAACTATCTTCAAGAAACGTATTAACGTGCCTCTAAGCCAAGCAAGTTTTATTTTGTATTCCTTATAATTTTTATCATTCTTGTTCATTTGTTCTAACAATTTGTAATATCATCAGTGAGGATTATAAACTCGATGATGATCATAGAATACCTAGTTTTTCTAGTTCTTATTTTCTCCATGCTTGTTAATTTGTAGAGACTTGTTATCTCATTACGAATAGTAAGATAAGGTCTAGTCCCCCTTGCTTGTACTTATCTCTATTGATATCTTTTTATTTTCAAAAAAAAAAAAATCGCTAGACGCTCTGACTAGTGGTAAATTTGTTTATTAAAAAAATGACACATCCCTTATTATTATTTTTCTTAAAATAATCTATTTTTTCTTTCTTTTTCAGTTCATTACTCCATCTCTTCATCTCTCTCCATTTTTTTACATTAGAGATACCATCACAACCTTCCATTCGCACTAGTATCAT